AGCGTTCAGGACCGTCCCTTGGAGTCTGGGACAGTGAGCTCTGAGGGTCCCTCTCGCAAGGAGACCAGCCTTCTCTACTTCTTCAGGCAGAGCCCGTCACGGGGAGAGAAAACAGCATGTCTGATGACCGAGTCATGCCACCCTTGGGAGCAGGGGCAAGGCCATGACTGAGCGAGGTGAGAGACACGATCACCTCAGCCACAAAACCTAACGGCTGCCCCATTTCACTCTCACTGGGATGGTTCTGATTAAAAACACAACAACCAACAAAAAACCAAACATAACAAGTGTCGGTGAGGACATGAGAAATGGAAACCCTTGTACATCGCTATGGGAATGCAAATGGATGGAGTTGCTGTGGGAAATGGTACGATCCTTTTCTTCTTCTCCTTCTCTTTCTCTTTCTTCTTGTTCTTCTTTTGAGACCGGGTCTCACTCTGTTGCCCAGGCTGGAGTGCAATGAAGTGATCACAGTTCACTGCTGTCTCAATCTCCTGGGCTTAAGAAGGAGGGAGGCTCCTTCCTCCTCAGCCTCCAAAGTAGCTGGAACCACTGGTACATGCTACCCTGCCCAGCTAATATTAAAAAATTTTTTTTGTAGAGATAGGGTCTCGCCATGTCACCCGGGCTGGTCTCAAACTCCTGAGCTCAAGGGATCTGCCTGCCTTGGCCTCCCAAAGTGATGGGATTACAGGTGTGAACCATTGCACCCAACTGGTATAATCCTTCTTGGAAAAAATTAAACAATATCATATGACACAACAATTTCATGTCTGTGTATGTACTCAAAAGAACTGAAAGCAGGGACTCCTGCAGGTATTTCCACACTAATGTTCATGGCAGCATTATTCACAACCGCCAAAATGTAGAAATAACCCCAATGTCCATCGATGGATAAATTGATGAACAAAATATGATATATCCATATAATGGAATATTATTCAGACTTAAAAAGAAGGAAACTTTTATCTATGAACCTTGAAAACATTATTCTAAGTAAGCCAGACCCAAAAAGACAAGTACTGTATGATTCCACTTATATGAGGTCTCCAGAGCAGCCAAATTCATAGACAGAAAGAAGAATGATGGTTCCCTTGAGGACATGGGAAATAGGGGTTATTGTTTAATGGGTACAGAGTTTAAACTTGGGAAGATAAAAACGTTCTGGAGATGGATGGTGGCGGTGGCTACACAACAGGGTGAGTATGTTAACGCCACTGACCGTACACACAAAATGGCTGAAGTGGTACATTTTATGTTATGTTTATTTTATCAAAATAAAAAAAATTTTAAGGGGGTTCCAAAAATCTCAGTAATCAAGACAGATAATATTTTTATTTCATTTTTGTTTCTTTTTTGTAGAGACAGAGCCTCATTCTGTTGCCCAGGCTGGGGTGCAGTGGTGCAATCATGGCTCACTGCAGCCTTGAACTCCTGGAACAAGCAGTGCTCCCACTTCAGCCTCCTGAGTAGCTAGGACTACAGGCACGGGCCACCGCCTGCCCTTGGCTAATTTCTAAAAACATTTTGTAGAGATGGGGTCTTGCTATGTTGCCCCTATGTTGGTCTTGAATTCCTGGCTGCAAGTGATTCTCCTGCCTTGGCCTCCCAAAGTGTTGAGATTAAAGGCATGAGCCACCTTGTCTAGCTAATATAAATACTATTTTAATGCCACATATATATGTAAATGCCATATATATATAATTATATATATATATGTCTAGCCAATATAAATACTATTTTAATGCCATATATATAATTATATATGGCATTAAAAGTCATTTGCATATATATATATATATTCCATGATGACAAAATAGCAAAATTTTAAATAAAGAAGATCTGTATTTCTGAACTTTCCTTTTGCCCCATGGCTTAGCCTACCACTGACTGGCAGTTACCTCTCTTTGGGAATGTGTGTGCCGGTCACGACACAGGTCTGATTTCTCAATCGTATGACTGTATGGCCAGCCTGTAAGGCAGGAATTATTACAGATAAGTAAACTGAGGCCCCTGGAGTTTAAGTCATTTGCCCAAGGTCAAACCGCTGCCCTTGGCCTCTACAACGCTGCCTCCCAGCTGTACACACAGCCGGGGAAGAGACGGGCCCCAAACTCAAGACTAGAGATTTGATTGGTCTCTTCCTGCGAAAAACGCCTGAGCAGATCAGAGGCTGAGGTGGAGATTTCAATCATGTAACTGCTATCTTGTGAGTCTGTAATAGCCGGCGAATGCATGGTTTTTTCTCCTGTGGTTTTTGCTTAACCTCTTTTTTAATTTCATTGTTCCTTTAACGACGTGATTCTTTTGGCTCTCTAATCTGTCCTAATAAACGCTGTAATTACAAGTTTCCCTGACCGTGCTGTGCCGCAGGGGAGCTCCCTCCCCAGCTCCTGGGAAACTGAACTGGAGAGTGATCTTGGCAGGGCGCCTCTGCCTCCAGGAGGCCTCAGTCACCACCTGCCTCTCAGTCAAGTTCAGCTCTTTCAAGCCGGGACCTTGTCTGTCTTGTTCACAGCAGTAGCCCCAAAATCTGCCTGGTGCCTGGCACATAGAAGGCGCTTAATAAATCTCTGTTGAATGAATAAATGACAAAACTAAAAGTCTAACTAGCACGGAATCCTTGCAAAAGTACATGCAACACGTGTAGCATCTTTTCTTGAACCTTGTACCTCATGTGGTGGTTGGAGTCCACTGAGAATATTTGTAGAACGAAATAGAAAGGCAGATAGGGCCGGGTTCTGTGGCTCATGCCTGTAATCCCAGCACTTTGGGAGGCCGAGTCAGGTGGATCACGAGGTCAGGAGTTCAAGACCATCCTGGCCAACATGGTAAAACTCTGTCTTTACTAAAAATACAAAAATTAGCCGGGCATGGTGGCATGCATCTTTAATCCCAGCTACTCAGGAGGCTGAATCAGGAGAATCGCTTGAACCCGGGAGGTGGAGGTTGCAGTGAGCTGAGATCGTTGCAACTGCACTCCAGCCTGGGTGACAGAGAGAGACTCCATCTCAAAAAAAAAAAAAAAAAAAAAAGCATACAGGTGTAGTGATGCATTGTTTAATGTGCTTATACATATACACACACAATTGTGTGTGTGTGTGTGTATGTACCTCTGCAGTAGAGGAGAATACAGCAGAATACACGTTATTTTACCCCAAAGAGGATAAAAATATACATTTGTCATCAAATCCTTGGAAATAAGGTGTATTTGCATTTGATGTGTCCACTAAGATTCACTGGGCCCCCAGGCATCCTGTTCATGGGACAAATGAGCTTGTCCAGAGCTTGTGAGTTGGTTCATGGTTTGAAGCCTTTGACTTTATCTTCAGGCTATTCCTCACAAAAGCTGTTTCTGTGTTTAGACAGAGTGTGTTCTCTGTGGCTGCTTCCCCAGCATGACCTCCAGTCTGTGATCCTTTGTAATCCTCTGAAAAATAAAGTGCGCTGGGACTAAAGATCACTCATGGTAGATAGGGGCATTGGAGAGGCTGACTGTGAAAAGCCCATCTGTGTGGGCCGTGAAGCTGCTCTGTTGCCTGGTCCTGCCCTCCCTCCTGAGTCCCTGGCTCCAGAGAGCAAACTCTCCTGGCTCCAGAGAGCAAACTCTCCTGCTGTGTGTACCCTTGTGTCTTTGCCTGTGCCTTGTCCTGGCCAGAAATGCCCCCGTCCCTTCATCTTTCCTTGACTCCTGCCCTATAATTATCTAAAGAGCCTCATTATTTTGTATCTCATCCCAGCATAGGCATCACCTGGAAGCAAAGCAGGTCTCAGGCCCCTGCCTGATGAATCAGAATCTGCTTAGTAACAAGCTCTCCAGGTGATTCATCTGCCCCTTCAAGTTTGAAAAGCATCAGAGATGGCTCCTACTCATCTTTTAGTGTTCAGCTCAGGGACCGCCTCCTCCAGAGAGCCTGCCCTGATCTTCCCACTCACGACAGCCGGCTGCTGGGACAATTAAAGAGCCAGGCACAGCCCCGGTATGTACACCCACCACGTTCATGAGCACTTATAGTGCATGAGTCTTTCTAATTTAATGGTGTGCACTCTGGTGGAACAAACTTAAAATTCCTCTTGGAATCTCCAAATGAGGGGCATCATATAGCTCCAGTGCAGGCTGTAAATGCATCATACCTGAGAATCCCCATGCTTTGCAGTCCGTGTTGTGGGAGCAGTGCAGGAACCACACGAAAGTTCCAGAGAGGCATGTGGCACACCATACTCTATTCTAGGGAAAAGCAGGCTTTCCCTGGTGTAATTAACACATCCACAGCCTTTCTGACTTCTGTCAGGGGTCTCCTGCAGAGCTTTTACTAAGGCTTTCTTAAAGTAGTGACAAACATCATAGGGTGTCTTTCGTTCCTCCTCTCTGACCCTCACAAATGTCCAAACACAGCCCAGTCTGTCCTTGATTCATCTTGTGATGACCACCCCAACATCAGACCCTTGTGAGGCCCCTCGCTGAAATCCTGCCTCTCTCCTCAACTCTTACTCCATTCTCTCCACAAACAAAAAGGTCAAGGTGGCATACACACTCTTCCATGTCCCCTTCCCTGCAACCCCCTCTCTCCAGGGGTAAGAACCTTCCTGGGTGATCACACAGCCCTGGAGGTCACATCTGTGTACAGGGCCCTGCACACTCCCCACAACCCACCTTGGCTTTGTTTCCCCTGGACCCAGAAGCAGAGTTCTCATGGTCTTATCCTACCTGTACCTTCTACTTACAATATTCTGTCCCTGACCCTCCCAGGGCCCTCCTTCTTATCTTTAGATCTCAGGTTAAATGTCACCTCTTGGGTGCTCTCCCATCACCCCTGTTCTCCCATCACCGGACTGGAAATGTCTACAGAGAACAGATTCCCATCATTTGCTTGTATTTTGTTACCTGATCTTGCCCATCACTAAAATGTAAGTTCCAGAGGTATGCAGGCCTCGTCGGGTTGGTATTTTTCATCTCTGTATCCAAAGCCCCTAGAACAGTGCAGAAGACGTGATAGAAGCTCCATGGATGTTTATTAAATAAATGGATGTGAATGAATGCAATAAAACATACACTTTCATTCAAATAAACCCAGGGGTGCTGATCATTCTCCAAGTTTGTTTTCTGCCTGCTCTGTGCCCTAGAGGGCACCTCCTCTGGCCTGCACTGCCCAGGCCCTCTTGCAGGCAGCTGATCATGCACCTGTAGTCAATGAGACGATGGGAGCAAGTGGGGGCAATTTTACCTGGTCCCTTGACAGGGCCTTATTGGGCTCAGATGATATCGCTTCGTCTTCCCAACCCTTGAAACCTGGGGATGGGAAACCATGGCATCTGGGAGGCTTCCCATCACGTGTCTGAGCCCTCGTCCCTGCTCACGGCTCAGGAAACTTCCTTCGCCAAAGTCTTTTCACCTGAACCATTTAGGATGAACTGTTTCTTGTGGGGGCAATGCTCCTCCTGTGTGCATACAATTTAGCTATCTTTTCTGTACATACAGAATGTACTTAATTTTTAAGGGTGTGTTGGGGGGTGGTTCTTTTTCTGCTTTCCTCCTTAGCTCTGCTTCCAAGTTCCCCGCCTCACTGTGGTCTCTAGGGAAATCTTCCAACTGCATGGTGTCTGGCAGATTTTCAGCCATAGATTTTAATTGGCTCATGGTATCTTTCATGGCCTGCTTTGTTTGTGCATTCAAAAGTTCCAGCCTTTCTGTCTCCTCCTTCCTTCCCTGTACTCTCTGCTTCCATCTTGCAGTTTCTTGGTGGAGCACTTCTGGAATTTCTGCAAAATGAGTGTTTTCATTCAAACCACCTGTTATTTTCTTCTGAAGTGTTTCTCCATCCTCCTTTGATCCTTTTAGGATGTGTCCTGAATCAGTCACCTGGGAACATTGAGGAGACTCACTTTTCCATGCTTTTTCCAGAAAGTGGCGTGTGTCCTGCAGACACCTGCTCAGATTTTTATTAAGGGTTAATAAGCAGAGGGATTGTAACATTCAGGGTCTGGCCTCCATCAGGGGTGACTTGAGGGCTTCCTCAGCCTGTCTCATTATTCCCGTGGGTGTCCCACCTTTGCCATGGACCTGCTGGTGAGAACAACACTTTTGCGAAGCTCTTCTCCTCGTCATAAAGGGTCATCTCTTAGTAAGACCACTGCAACAGCACAAACCAGGACCTCTGAGGGATGCCCAGGGACCCCCAGGGCTTACTCATGATCTCAGCCATCACCAGCACAGCAGGCCCCAGCAGCTCCAGAGTGGCTCAAGAGACATTTTGGAGACCAGCAGCCCCTCTGTGACTCTACCTCTGCTTTCCAGTGGCCTCTGGGCCACAACTGACCACTCGGAACCCTGCAGAGTATTCTGTATATAATGCTCACAAGTGCCTGGCAACCAAGATAGACAATCAATTGGGCTGGGGGAGGGGAGTCAGACAGGTTCTAGAAACATGTCCCTGACGCTGGTGTGCTCACTGCACAGATAGAGGTGATAGTCCCCACCCAAGTCATGAGGGAACTGGAAATGGCTGATGGCACCCTGGAGCTCAGCCACACCAGGCCCAGCTGGCTCCACAGCAAACCCAGGGGGTCCAAGTGAGGCCATGCCCTGTCCCTTTCTGTCCACAAGGGCATGTCCTTCTTGAATGCTCTCTTGACTCCTTTTTGTAGACCTGAGTTTTTCCACCTATGCCATTTTCCCTTCTTTTCCAATGAAGTCCTGCTGGCAGCAAACTCTCTCAGGTTTTGTTTCTCTGAAAAATTATTTGCCATTCACTTTTAAAGAATAATTTCAGTGGATACAGAGTTCTATCTATAGCTAGTGGTGTTTTCTTTCTTTTAGTCCTTTACAGATTTCACGCCACACGCTCTTTTTATTTGCATGGTTTTTGAGAAGTCTGATGTAATCTTACATCAGATTGCATCATATGTAAGGTAGGTGCTTTTTTTTTTTTTGATCCTCCATATGTAAGGTAGGTTTTTTTTTTTCCCAGCTCTGAATTCTTTCATTATTTTCTCTGCATTTTTGATTTTTTGCAATTTGAATATAATATGCCTAGGTAGACATTTTTAAAATATCCATCCTGCCTGGTGTTCTCTTTAGTTTTCTGAATCTGTGGTTTGGTGTCTCATCAATTTTGGAAAAGTCTCAGTCATTATTAAATATTTTTCTGTTCCTTTCACCTTTTCTTGTTTTTGTACTCCCATTACGTGTATGTTACACCTTTTGTAATTGTCTTGCTATTTTTAAACATTGTGCTCCATTTCTGTTGTCTTTCTCCCCTTTGTCTTTTAGTGTGAAAGGTTTCTATTAACATATCTTCAAGCTCAGTGACGTACAACTTGTGTTCCAGTTACTATACAGGAGCACTGCTGATGTGTTGGGCAGGAACAGGGGAGGGGAAGCATTCTATATATAGCCCGATGATTAGGTTTCAGGTTTTTAGTGAGCCTGTGTCCCTGGGCTGTGAACTTCACATGGGAGTCTCAGTTATGATCCCATCTCATATTAGGTAAGACAGTAAAGCTAGCTGAGATGAAAGTGGGATGTTTTCTTTTCCCTGGGTGTTAGGATGAAGGTAGCTGAGGTATGATATTTTCCTCCACAAAGATGAGGCCATGGTTCTCCACCTGTCCACTAAGATAATGGAAGTAGTGGAGCTTGGTAGACGGCAAGCAGGGTGATGCACAGATGTGAATTCCCCTGCCCAAGATGGAATCAGAGATCCAGCCTGGGATCCCACCTCCACCACTTCCCAGCTTTGTGATCCTAAACAAATTAGTTACTGTCGCTGCAGTTTCATTTCCTCATCTTAAAAGATGGTAGTAGCAGTCATCCCATAGCACACGTTGAGAGTTAAACCAAATGATGCAAGGGAAATGCCTGCAACACTGCTTGGCAGATAACAGAGTCTCAACAGATGGTAGAGGTCATTCTAAAGAGAATGTCATTGGATCTAACCGGGGTGACGAAGGCAGTTAAGAGTAGGCCAGAGGTGTGGTAGGGCTTGGGAAAAGCAGGTCAGGCAGCTGGTGGGATTTGCAGAGCTGAGGAGAGCCTTCTGGGTGCATTTAGTTGCTGACAGAGTCTGGCCCAAGCCCAGACCACAGGCACAGTCCCAGGAGACTTGCTCATGAGCTGTCATCTCAGTCCAGCCACTGACTCACCCCACAAGCAGGCACCCAGGGAGCAGGTGCTACAGCTGTTGCGTCATTAGACCTCTAGGGCTGTAAGAGCTGATCATCTTCTGGCTGATGGAGTAGCTTGCCCACAGGTGGGAATGGGAAGGGTGAAGGCTCAGCCTCTTTTTCTTGTGTGTCTAGGATGAGAGAGGCAGTATCCTGACGTTGGTCTAGACCTTGTTGTTTAAAAGGTAAGCTGAGGAGCAGCAGGCTCAACATCACCTGGGCACATGTTATAGATGCAAACCTCTGGTCCAGTCCCATCCTTGCTGAGCATTTGGCAAGCTCTCCAGGTGATTGCTTTGTATGTAAAAGTCTAAGAAGCACTAGCTAGCATCTTTCTGGTTCACATGCACATGGAAGCTTGAGAAATGTTGGCTTAGGAGTCTTTGTGGATTCCAAAGAGAAGTCAGAACACCAATAACCAGCACGAATTCTGATTGTAATATCAGCAGCTGAAGGATCAAGGTATTTGGAACCCAGGAATCACAATGAGAGTTTTTCAGGTCACAAATGGGTAAAAACAATGGAGGTCTCACTGATAAGGTGACATTTTAGCTGAGCACGGAAGTGAGTGAAGACATGAACCATAGCATATCTGGGGGTCGAGCTACCAGTGCAAAGGCCCTGGGGCTGGAGCATACTCAGTATGTGTGAGAAATGGCAGGGAGTTCAGTGTGTCTGATGCAGATTAAGTGAGGAGGCCAGGGATAGGAGGTAGTATGGAAAGATTGTGCTGACCCTGCAGTTCATGCTAAGGCCTTAGGATATTATCATGAGTGAATGAAGCCATTGGAGGGTTTAAAGTGAATGGGGCCACATGATCTGACTTTTGTACTAAGAGGAATCTCTCCAACTGAGTCTAGTGTGCTGAGAATAGACTGAAGAGGGGCACAGCAGGGCAGTCTGGTCAGAGGTACCTGTAGGAATCCCAGATGGCTGGTAGTGAAGGAGGCAAAGAGCTGAGCTTTGAGCCTGGTCCTGTTTAAAGCAGAACTGGCAGGACTTTCTGGGGATGAGTGCGTGATGTGGGAGAAAGAGAAGAAGCTCCTGGGTTGGCTCTGTGCACCTCTGTGGGTCAGCCTTCCTGGAAGTGCTTTGCTGTTTCCCTTCAGTGCCTAAGGCAGGCACGGGTAGAAGAGTCTTTGTTTTTTGGGGGGGGATTTTTTGTTTATTTGTTTATTTGGTGATGCAATTTCACTCTTGTTGCCCAGGCTGGAGTGCAGTGGCATGATCTTGGCCCACTGCAACCTCCACCTCCTAGGTTCAAGTGATTCTTATGCCTTAGCCTCCCAAGTAGCTGTGATTAAAGGTGCCCACCACCACCCCCAGCTAATTTTTGTATTTTTTTTTTAGTACAGAGGGGGCTCTACCATGATGGCCAGGCTGGTCTTGAATTCCTGACCTCAGGTGATTCACCTGCCGTGGACTCCCAAAGTGCTGGGATTATAGGCATGTAAAACCATGCCTAGCCCAGGTGGAAGAGTCTTAAACATGGCTGGTGGCACATGCACTTTCATCTCTGTTTCTGCCCAACCCCCCTAAAATGTCAGTAAAAGCATGAAAACAGGGAATCTACAGGATGAGGAACCCAGGACTGGGGACCAAAGAAGACGAATGACAGTGTGAGTTATGCCTGGAGAGGAAAGCAGACACAGCTGTGGGTGGGAGCTGACTTAGCAGAGGGAAGGAAGCCTGCTATTGAGTGTCTGCAGTCAGAGGTGCAAGCTGAAGACCTCGAGGATCCACCTGAGAGGCTCAGGAATCAGACTCCAGGCCCTCTGGAAGGTCAGGTTGAGGTGGGCTAATAAAAGGTATGTTGATCCATGCTGTCCAAGAGTTGTTATATCTGCTGCTCAGACAGACACTAGCTCCCTGATCACCTAAGAGACTCAAGGGTGATCCTCTGGGAAATCGAGGCAGCTGGCACTCCAGTGCAGGGTGAAGCTGGGGTATGAATTCTGCACACTGAATTGTGGATTTCCAACCCCTTCCTCATCCCTGGTCCAGGGCAGCCATAGCCAAGCCTATAACCAGTAAACAGGAAAACAGATGACCTCTGAGGACAACATCATCCAGAAGACAGGCTCCAGATGCCAACAATGTGGGCTCCTCTGAACACACACTTTGCCTCTCACTTCACAGGCAAATCCTGCCCCAGCACATACATTTCTGATCAATATTTTAGTGCCTCAATCTTAAATATGAATAGATAGCCAAGGATCACCAGACAGGAAGTCCTCAAACACACACAAACAGAAACTAAAGACAAGAGAGAAAGGATCCCAGAGAAAACAGGCCATTCAGGGAGCAGAGGGAAACTTTCTGGACAAACCCACAATTAAAATCTTCCAAGATGTTTGAGGGGCTGTATGCTTGTGATTCAAGATCAGGCTCCTAGCAGGAACATTCATAGCTCCAGGCTGGGGGCAGGAAAGGGGACAAAGCTGAAACAAAATTCTACAGAGGATTAGAAGATAACAATGAGAAATTTTGCAAAACATATACCACAAAAGACCAAAGAGTCAACAATAGGAGAGGAAAGCTAAAAGAATAAGTAAAAGGTAAAAGAATAAGTCCTGAAGTTTGAAATCCTGACAAGCAGGAGCTCCAACAGAGAGAAAAGGAAAAAAAAATATACAGAATAAGTTATTTTTTAAAATGCAAGAACATTCCCTAGAGCTAAGTGATATAAGTCTCCTGATAGACGCTCATACAAAGGCAAATCATCATGGAATATCACTGTACCAGATATAAAGAGAAGGCCTGAGAAGTTTCCAGGGGAACACGGAGGCCACTTAGCAAATATTGGCAATCAGGAGGTCCTTGAAATTCTCAACAGCAAAAAAGGAAGCTAGAAGACAAGGGAGCAGTGCCTTTGAAATTCTGGAAGGACAACTAATT